AGTTTTGCCTGAGCTGAATGAGATAGTGAGGAAGTTAATACTAATCCTTCGCTATCACAGCTTGACACGTGAAATGGTGATTACTGGCTGCGGAAACGCATCAAAGGCTATGATTGAATTTAGGGGGAACAAAAAGCTCTGTGAAATAGGTAGACAGCTGAGTTTCACAACTATCAGCAATGACATGTATACGAGATGTCTATAACTCTCGAAGAAACTTCTTCAGCTGAGCGTGATTTGGTGGTAGATAGTGATCCACTGTCGTTCGGCTCGTCTCGGAGTCTTGTTATCGATTATCCCTGATAGCACAGTGGGTCTTTGAGTCTATTGGGCGTACCCATTCTACTCCACTTATACAGAAAGCTGTAAAGGTAAGCGGAACGGTAGATAAACAATCGACTGTGTGCGGGAGAGATGCAGTAGGTTTGCATAATAGGAATTCATACGGGATCCAATTCAGAAGAGAAAGGGCGAAAGAGAGGACCACATTCTAGATGTTGTTTGGTACGGTATGGTGTAATAAGTTAGTTTTGATGAAGAACCGCGTCGCGCAAAACAAGGCGATTTCAGAACCTTGAAGGGGATTTAACAGAGACAAATAAGGTAGTAAGTGCAGCCGTATCACAGCAAAAGTTCAACGGATCGAGTTCTTATTCAAAATGTGGTGCGGAACAATAGTATTGTAATTGATTCGAATTTCCATACAGAACACGAAATACAGGTGTTAAATGGATGAGTGGAAAATGCCCAATCGGCAGGCACCGGGATGGGATCTTGAGTGTTATCACAATCAGGACTGAGTACTAAGGTGGCAGAATACATAGGAGAGAGGGAAATGACATCGTCAACAGGCACTGAAATTGAGTTGCCCCAAGTAAGTTTCCGATTCAGTGATGAATCCAAATACGAGAAGCTCCATTAGGGGTCCGTCGTGCCACAACTGGCCACTGGCCTTCAATATGTTCTGATATACTGGTAGAGATTCGCCACTGGAATTGAAAGATGACGGTAACATGTGGGACGTGTCTATGAAAAGGTCACCATTAGGCTTGTGGTACCGAAATCCCTAGTGGTCGGTCCTCTGCAGGGCGTCGTGATCTAGATATGGGCGCAGCCGATCTACGATTATGAATCCTATAAGCATTGAAATGGTAGAGGTGAGCGGAGTGTGAAAAATCAAGTAATGAAGCTGTAAGAATTCCCTCTGGGAATGGGAAAAACAGGAAAGGTTTTACAACAATGGGAGAAAAGTCGAAAGAAAGGGGTTGAGAAATAAGGTGTCGTAATATGGAGTCAATTCAGACTTATTCCTTCAGTGTGATTATTAGAATAGTATCGGCACCGGAGGGCTTGCGTGGGTTTTGCGTAGATGGTGAAAAGCGAAAGTTTCTGATTTTATTATAATGAGAAAAGGTGGGACCATGGTTGTGAGTAGGGGCTGGAGTTAGGGAAGTTAGAGATAAAGATGGGCTGAGGTCGAAAAATGCTGCAGACACCTCAGCTTTTCATGGTTTTGTTAAGTGAGAATGTGGTGTTTCAGCAGCTGTCCAACGTGATACAACCAGGTACAGCTTCGTGGATGAGCCTCAAAAAAACAGGATCGCCGCGGACAGGTACGACAAGGGCTCCTAGTGATTGGTCATCTTCGAGTTTACCAATTATCTTCTCCGATTTAACATATTTATACAAACCAGTTCGGCAACACAACTAACGTGCTATTTTACAGCCTTTCGTCTTCTTGCTACTTTGGTTCGCGTAGTTCTGGGCGAGGGCAATTTCAATACGTCCTGTTATTTCAGTTCATTACGATTATTACAGAGAACCAGACCAGATCAAGATGAGAAGAGATGAAGGAGGAGAAACGGTTCCAGAAAAGTATTTGCACGGAGAAAAATTAGTTATTTTCAGAAGAACAAGAGTCCAGCACTTTATCGTGTGGCTCAGTGGATTCATCCTTGATTTTCAGCAGAACAGTTATTTTCTATGTTGTGTACAATGCTGCGAAGGTAGAAGAAATGCCCGTGTGAGACCATCGGCTCGCGGACATGTGTATAACTAGGCCGTACTTGGAGTGGATGTCTCTCGAGGCTCAAAAGATTGTAGGGATCATTTTGGGGGATGACTTCTTCGACGTATGTTGTTGAAATAGGATCAAATGGAAAAGCATAGTCACACCTCAGATGGGGTACCAGAAATCATTCATGTTTGGAGTGATATTCTCGTTGACTTCGTCGAAAACAGCGACCTTTCTGTGTACCTAGGTCGTAAAACGGAGCAATATAAACAAATGCCTGTTTACTGTTGAAATAAGTAATTTGCTCTCAGTACTTCGGCTAACCGGAAACAGTGTACGTAATAAAATACCTCGAGTGTGGAGATAAACGCAAGTAGAACTGGGTGCACTTGATTGGTTCGATCCTGTGGTCTTTGATGCGTACGAAACTATTGCGCGCATAAGGCTGCGCACGGAGAAATTTCCAAATCACCACCAGAGTGTGAGTGCATCTACGGACTCGGGGAGATCTATCCGCGTGTAAGGAAAATAACGCTTCTTGAAAACTTGATCGGTTAGATCTGTTGTGTGGCTCTTCCTTGGCTACCTTGCTGCATCCGGCTTCACTCCCTAGTCGGATTCGATTACGTAGCCTGATGTGTCCCCGGCTTCCTCCGGGGTACCTTGGGTGATTTGCGCTACTGTCCAAGACTCTTGCATCCTTATTTCGTAAATTAAATATTCAGATACAAATTACGTCATTCGCAGTAACATCGAAAGAAAAATACCAATCTGAAAAGCATTTCATTGACCGCGTGAAAATACCTTTGTGTGTAACGTGAGAATCAGGTGACCACGATCAGCCCAAAGCTGACACTCGGCCCTCATATTCATCAGTGACATTCACAATGTTGTTGACAACCTATTACCTGAAATGATCCCCACCCGCCACCCACCTGTGCGCACGTTCACCTTATCGTGTTTCCCCGAAAATAAGACCGGATGTTTTGGCTACTTTGCCTCCAAAATTGCTCTCGTGCTTGCTTTCGGGAGACGCCTTATTTTTCAGATATAAAAGTTCACATTTGTGTACGCGTAAAATTTTACTTTTATCCAAATATAGTCATGTCATCTCTTGGAATGTCATCACATATTTCCAACTCCTGCATTGGGGACCGGATTTCTTATGAATTCATTTCCTATAGAACCACTGGCCCAAGTCTCTCTTGCCCTGTATTAAAGCTTTTCATAAAAGAGTAATAATTGTCCATATATATGCCGCTCGTAGCGAGTTGGCTACATAGCTGCCGTGATTTTATCCAATGGATACTTCATCCAATTCAAGAATTCCTCCCGACTAGGCTGTCTACGTGCAAATAATCCTTGACCGTTTTGGTTATTACAATATCAACAGTCAGAAGGTTTGAAGACATTCCTGCCGGAATCGATATTTGATCAGTACCTATTTCTGCAACGTTGTTCGTCATTTCTTTAGCACCGTGAGTATCGGCTGAACCCCAAAACTCGTAGATCTCGTTGATCACCGATGAAAACAGGAGACAGTAATGGAGGGATCAACTGTCTCACGATTGCCTGTGCGCGTTAGGCTTTTTCGGTTGAGGGAATATTCATAATTGAAACACGTTCAACCTTATCTTTCTTTGCCCAAAGTGATCCTCAGAGGCGGGTGTTCTTTCCGTCCAGATGCGCTGCCAAAATATAGGTAGCACGTGTACCTACGTAACCAGTGGACGAAAAGCAAATTGACGAGGCACTCATTTGATCAATTGTCGTTAAAGATCCGAGACCCGTAAAAACTGCTATTTCATTCATATCAAGTACTGTAAAGAGTAGGTATTAGGAAAACAGTATTCCGTCTACAAAGTAACTGAATACATGTCCACGGTTAATAAGTTCCGTATCTTTCGGCTTGAACACGGTCCTCGACAGCCTTGAAGACAGTTTATATTGGTGAAAAAAGTCATCCAGCCAGTGTTGTGGTGTCTTTAAATTCATTGGAGTTGTTTCGAAATATGGTACCGTTGCAAGAGAAAATGCCTGAATATTAGCCCTGTGCATAACCTAATTCTCGTTCTCTTGTTAGTCAGCATTCCGTTCACAAATGATATCTTCCAGTTCAGAGTACAAAGATTCCCCATTTGATCCACTACTACTACTATTACATCTCTTGGCATTTCCTTCTTCCTCTGGTCGACTGAGGTTCTCGTACTATGATCTTCGTTTTCGGTCAATTCTTAGACCGGGCTCTCTCCTTTTTCAGAAAGCCGTACGATTTTTGTCCCATGCGTCTTCACCAATTCCTTCTTTTAACCGATTGAATAGCTTATTCTTTTTTCTTAGTCATCTTCGCTTGGTGGCAAACGCAAACACGAACAGGAATTGCTGGGGCTAGACATCCTCCTTTTTATTGCCTCGATGTTACCTAGCGATGCTCCTCTGTATGCATCCAAGTCATCGAACTACGCGGTAGCTGAAGTTCTTCACCAAGGCCTATTTTCCGGATAAGACTTATATTAAAAATCCTTCAGAAAAATTTGGCTAGGTCCTACTATTGAGGTAGCATTTATTTTCGGGGAAACACAGTACGTGAAGGCTTCGTTAGTTCAGACAAAACCTGTATGATACAGAAATCTAATGACTGAGTGTCATACTGACTGAATGTCTTCGTGCACACATATCCATGAGTTGATAGCATTTCTGGGCTCCAAGATGCTGTTATATTTATATTGCCTCAACCGCAGGGCATTATCGAGCTCTGTTCGTATCATTCGGTGAAAATCAGATCCTCATCGAAAAACACCTGATCAGATAAATGTGTGTGTGTGTGTGTGTGTGTGTGTGTGTGTGTGGTGTGAATCAAAATTTCATACGCCTTGCATCGATTTGGACAGTGCGGGTGTTAGCGAACCCAATCGATGGTGGGCCATGTCAGCTAAACTACGATGCATGAGTGATCTTCCTAAATAGACAAAGAAGCCATCTCCAAATGAGTGTTTCCGGGGCTTTCCAGGAGTCCATTGAGGCATGTGAAGCGGGATGGTTGCCCTGCAAAACTCAATGTCAGAAGAGCACTATATCACGTGGTATTGATGTCAAACAAGCGGTTGATAATCGGCCCAGCTGGCCTCGTGGTAGTGAGGCTTTCGACTCACACAGTGCATTCACTACCAGTTCGATTCCCCGTGGGAGCTCGAGGATGTGCTCTGATCAGCTCATGATTCCTGGCAAGCCCGATGAAACCGTTGAGCACAGTTCTCCCACGGTTTTCATTGATGAGTTCAGCCTGCATTTACATGATGAACCGTATTATTTATGAATCAAGTATCCTAATGTTTACATTGATAAAGCGACCAAATTCTGTCAGTTATTTGTTGCACAATGCTTTCGTTGGATTAAGGCACCTGCGACAAACTTGTTCGTGATCCTCTAACGAGATGGTGAAACGAACGAGACACAACTGTATCTGCCCAATCAGACAGTTCAAAATGGCAAAGCGTGTGCAGCAATTTGTACAGTTTGTGTACACGCCAGCATTGGGCCAAAATCGATCCACCGGTTGTCTGTATATGGGACGAAAACGGATGAGTCAACTTCATTCAAACTACGTTTGTCCAGATGAACGAAATGCTTCATCGCTACACTCATAGCTAACGTGATCGGCTTTTTACCAGGACGATACTTCGTTTCGTTGACGGCTTTGGTTTCAAGAAACGGATACTGACTGTGTTGGCAGTTGTTACTATCCCAAACCGTCTGACTACTCTTGATGCGTATTGTGGGACTCGGTAGATAACTGTCGAGACCTGGTAGAAATTGATTGAGTGATGCATTTAGACCAAATGCCCAACAACTTGGAACACGTGACCATCTGTGCTGCTGGCGTAGAAAGATGGCTTTCGACGGACCAAACGATGATTCAGATGACTTCATCTTTCTTCGTGATGGCATATGGGAATTTACTGGGAAATATTCTCTCCTGATACTTGTACTGCTCTTTCGGAGTACTTATTTGCCAACATACAGATCAAAATCGGTTGCATCGGTATTTTAGCTCAATGCACTCTTTGTGATAAATGTTTAAAAAAACGAGTTGCCATTTACTAGGGAATTCGCAATAACGTCTGTCACAGCAACACGTGCTTGACAGGCTCACCGAATGCTCTCCTCTACCTGTTCTTTGAAGTAGGGAAGTTTTCTGGCTTTCAGCAAAATCTTCGTCAACTTGATGGAAACTAAAATATTTAACAAACCTCGCTCGTGCGACCTTGAGGTGAAGCTCTCGCAATCGAAGTGAACCGTCAAATAATTTCCGCGAATTTGTTTTGAACTACAAAACGGTAGATTATTCCGTAAAAGTGGTTGCTATTCTCTTGAACATTTCTGCAAGACGTCACTTTGACAAAAGTAGCTGCCTATGGTTGAATTCAAGTTTGTCCATTGGTGACGGAAAAAATTGCTGTAAATTTTGACCCTCATTCTTTTAAAAATTAGTCAAATTCGACCCTTTACTAATTTCGGTCTTTCGAGATTCCCGCTAATTCATCGCGATAATCAAGGTGGCAACACTTCAACTGTCCACAAATGGCAGTGGAAATAACGTTCCCAATATTAAGTTATGTAGAATATTATGTTTCAGCCTTGTGTTATCATTTGTAATAAAATATTAGGAAGATGCAATTAGTTGTGAGGAAACTAATTCGTATCTTGAATCTCCGCCAAACCTGTATGTCACATCCCCTCGTATTTCGAAAACCAGTCGAGTTTCAGGTTTAGTCTCAAAAGACCTCATAAATGGGTCAACTTTTGGTTGCATTGTGTCATCAGTCCCTTTTTCTCAACGAATACTACTGGCCCCCATTACATCCCTACCCTGCAGAGTATAAATCATGTACGAATTTTGAGTGAAGTTCATCACAATCCTGTTATCTGAATACCACGAGGCTGCTCAAACCGAAACACAGTGTTGTCTTAGGTAGCTCCATCTCCAAGGCATTCGACCATGGATCTGCCTACAAGGCAGCGGGGCGAAATAGGGTGATCTTGTCCCCTATGGAAACCGGTGATCAGCGTGGTTGAAGCCACGATGTCTAATGCACGCTTGAACTCTCGAGGAGCCTATGGCTGATAGCGCAGTTCTTGCGCCTTTACCCAGATAATCCTCGACGGGTACATCAAACATGATAAAGGGAAGTGACCTTATTGGGTGGAGTCAAATTCAAGCCCGTCACATCTGTGGATTTTGCTGAAGTTTTGCACAAAAAGACCCGATCCGTTTTTGCTTCTTCTTCTCTGAATCATCGTTGCACAAGAAATCGGCCCATTCATACGGGAACACGCATTTTCAATATTTGGGATTTTACTTAGTCTGACATAGTTGTTGTTTTTAATGTGTAAATTGAGATTTCATTTCTCATACAATGCCTTCCCAAGGTCGATGATGGGTGTTATTCTTTGACAACCAATAAGCATTGTATCATTTTTTGGAAGCGAATACATAGTAACAATAGTAAGAATGATTGGAAATGAAATTTCACATTGACTTCTCTATGACATCACTGGTGTCAAGTGCCTTTAACTACACGTTATTTGGTGAGGTGACATGCTCTCCTTTGTTTGGCTCGTTTTTATTGTTATCCTGAATTTGCTACACATTCCATCATGAAATGAATATTTTCGGGAAGTTTTCCTGTCCCATAGTTTTTACTGAAAGGAGGTTTATTTGAAAGCATAATTCTCAGTGGTGGTAAATTCAAATTGAGATCCGTCTGATTTATCACGCAGAATTCAACAGAATCCACCGTTTGTTCCTGATTGTACAGGCGACCGAAGCACTTCGTTCATTGCACAGTCTAGCTTCGTACTGATCAACGGTCGTGTTCATTTGCAACAACGTGCAGACTATTATCCAATCGCATGCCCTTTTGAACACAGAATAATCTGCGTCAGATAAAGTTCATCCGTCTGCAGTTGGATACAAAATTACAGATACTGTGGAAATTCCAGTGCCGGTTTATTTTCTGCACGGTGATTCTCTCTATCCAAGGTTAGAAACATAGAATTCCACGAGACTGATTAGTGTTTTCGTTAGTGCTGTGGTGTGGACATTGACACCTCCTGTCCATATCAGGCTGCACCTGAATAACAAGCCCAAAAATGGTTTGATTCAAGGCCTTTAACTGCCGACTTTACAACGAATGACACGTTTGAGATTCGGACAATGTATTAGACTGGCTCTTCAACAATGGACAGTTTTCAAATGTCAAATCGCTTCGAAGCTGAATCTTAGTGTGCCATAGTGGGCACATTGGTATCAAACGTTGGAGAACCTCTCGCGTGCCACTGGGTCCCATCAGTGAGATGAATTTAACATACTAGGCAACAACGCGTTTATTCTGGTGGGTGAATTTACCACTGACTGCAATAAGATTGAATCTCTGCCTTATTGGGGGATTCACATCCAGTGGGAGAACGAAATATTCCCTCGTTATTTTCTCTCAGTGTACAAATAAACTCCGAGTCAGAAACCAATTTCACTAACTAAAGAGTACGAGCTGTGAAAGCAAACAAACAGCACGCACAAGTAGGAGTGGCAGTAGTAGTAGCAGTAGTAGTAGTAGTAGTAGTAGTAGTAGTAGTAGTAGTAGCAGTAGTAGTAGTAGTAGTAGTAGTAGTAGTAGTAGTAGTAGTAGTAGTAGTAGTAGTAGTAGTAGTAGTAGTAGTAGTAGTAGTAGTAGTAGTAGTAGTAGTAGTAGTAGTAGTAGTAGTAGTAGTAGTAGTAGTAGTAGTAGTAGTAGTAGTAGTAGTAGTAGTAGTAGTAGTAGTAGTAGTAGTAGTAGTAGTAGTAGTAGTAGTAGTAGTAGTAGTAGTAGTAGTAGTAGTAGTAGTAGTAGTAGTAGTAGTAGTAGTAGTAGTAGTAGTAGTAGTAGTAGTAGTAACAACAGTAATACCATCGCATCACAAAAGGAGGCTTGGTCGAGAAAACTGCGGGCTACTTTCAACCCCCCCCCATCCCCCCCCGGGGGGGGGGGGAGATTTCGTTCATCATGTAATATAGATGACAGGACAGATGGCACTACCTCACAAAGCTCTACGAAGTTTTCCCAAACGAAATGGAACATTGTTATTGTGTAACAGTTTGCTTTGTGATAACCTGGATAAATTTGACAACTATATGAATATGACACAGTCTAGATTTCACTTATTCGCTCATTCACTCTCTCGTGGTTATTTTCATTCTTTTGGTTGGTGTTGATAATCTACTCAGTCTACTTTGACCATTGTTCAGTTAATCACAATCAATAAAAGTGATTTTTTCCATTAGATGCAATTTTTCAACTAAACGAACAGTTGCAAAAGTGGTTCCTCCATATATAAAACTGTATAAGCATTGGTCAATTTGCTCACAAATCAGTTGTCACTTATCCGATGCAGGACATTTTTTACTAACTGGATTCGATTTATCCATAGTACTGTCTGAACAGTTCGTGAAGTTGAAAAGAGCTAGTAATTAACACGAATTGAACTTTGCTTGGTTGCCAATCGAAGCAGTAATTTTCACTGCAATTAACCCTTTCCTACTGGGTAAAATCCCACTCTGGTGTTGAAAAGAACCACGTAAACACTACGTCAAATGATTGCGACTCCCCATCCCCATTTGATTTTTATCGTTTGGACTTGTTTGTTCGCTTTAGGATTTCCATCTCCCCCTCAGATACAGAAACTTTCCATTTTCAAAAAGAATACCGATTTTCAGCCGAAGATCACACACTAGTGGGATTCGTTATTGGCACGAGGAGCCTGGATCATAACAATCATGGAAAATCTGCTTACTTTTTCGCATCGAAATGTCAAACTTCATTATTGTGAGATCCTTGCTACTCGTGTCAATGGGAAATTCTGCATTTTCAGGGAGTCATGTATTCTATCATGTTGTGATGAAGATAGCCGCGGCAACGGAAAGAGATGGCTATGGAGTCCATCTTGACAACCTTCGAAAAGCCACATGCAAAGGAAGAAGATGAACATATTTCCAGAACACAAATGAGAAACGAAGCGGATCTTGCTGAGGTACAGGGTTACCGTAGCAGATTAGGAGATTTAGACCAAGAGGTCAATCATCAGACCAATCAGATCAACACAGTGTGGAAGAACTACCTCGAAACCAAAATTCACGTGACCAAGAAGGAACCATAAACGCTGACTTGGAAAGAAGATCCACTATGGTTGAATGCGATGGTCCAGACAAGCCCATTTAAAACAATCGCACATATCTTTGTGTGCCCCACCTACCTTGCCTTCTTGTGGCATATTATTCGCTTTGCCTCCAAAGTTCAACCTTTAAATATAGTCCAATCTTGACCTTACGTAACAACAACAGTGCAACATGCAACGGATCAGTGCACTTCCCGGAGGAGGGGGGGGGGGGTTCCTCGTGTCTGATCTGCAAAACATAAAAGGAAAAATTCAGTGAGCCCAATTCTCAGTAAGAGTATCAACAGGATCCCACACTTAGATAAGTCGAACACCAGTATGGCTACGAACAGCTTGCTCACTCATATATAGCCGAGATCTAGACAATTCAGAAGCAACTTAGAGCACTGTAGATTTTTCCAGTGTACCAAAGACTCTCAAGCGGGAATAACAATTAGGGATTGGCGATAGTCAGCTATATTCATTGGTGGAATCTCTCCCCTGTTTTTCGATAAAAATAATTATGGTTGCTTTGTTTATACGAGATTCTCTTTGCTTTTTTCTTTGCTCGTGATCACACACACACACACACACACACACACACACATTATTGGCATTCCTGGACCTTACTTCAATGTCTGTTTCCACAGTGTGCATTATTCTGAAATGCAAAAAACCTCCCTAACCATAAACTGGGTAATGTTGCAATTTTTCAAACCATTTTTCTCAAAATTCTCCTGAGAAAAACATATTTCAATTAAGGGAATTTCTGATGCGTCCGTCTAGGCAATAGGTCTCTGCTGCGATAAGACGAGGAAGTACATGATCTCGTCCGATCGGTACAGGTGATATGGAATTGAAATTAATATACCCCTGACATGAAAAGTTACAACCTGGTTACGTCAGTTTGAAGAAAGTGTATCAGTGTTTTTCGCTGACGTGAAAAATCCTACAGACACAGAAATATCAGGGCTTTGACGGGACAAAACTGTCGTAATTGAACCTTTTGGGATTTCCACTGTCTGGCTACCATCAAACGCCAGCAAAACTTGAACGGATATGCCTATGGCAATATGATTGTCATTTTCGTGGGAGGCATAGCCTGACGTATTACCCGACAGAAAAATAGTCCTCCCAGAAAAACTCCCAATCAGACAGACTGGAAAGATGTATTGCTTCAGCCTGCTGAATTCTTTATTACTCTTAGTGTCGTAAACAACGTGTACTACTCCAGCTTGGATGGTCATGAATTATTCCACCTCAAACGAACCTGGGTATTGATTTTCACAAAAAAAGTCACTGGTATGAGTTTCTTATCACTGATAAGGTTCTTGTGAGTCCCCAAATCTTCACGTTAATCGCAAGTCAAAACAAATCACAACGAGATCTGAATTTTTTCACAACTTCAACACCGTTAATGAGCTTTTAGTCAGCCAAAAGATTTAACAACTCATTTTGCTTCGTCTTTCTTCTCAATTGCGTGTATGAATTTGCACAGAACTATTCTTTCTGTGTATACCTGTTGCTCTTTGACCCTTCGTTTATTAATCAGAATCAATAAAACAATTATCCAAGTTGGTTATATTGTCTTGTAGTCCATCACAACTTGTCACCGCAATAATATTAAATGAAAGCTGTGAGGAGATGCTAACTTTTTACTGATGGTTCAGAAGTAAATGTTACACAGAAATTTCTTGTCTCGAATGGGCTTTCCTCAATCATTACGGAAGCAGCCGGGACGTTTAACGGACCACGCTCGTGTGACCTTGATTTCGAGGTCACGTATTCCAAGGGAAAGTGAACAGTTTTCTCCTCCTGGGGGTACCGTCAACCACAAAATTGCTGATAAACCACCAATTTCTGAAAAACGGGTTTGTATTGCTTTTACCTTCTCCAATGCGACAAGATACGGATCGAAAGGAGGAACGTGTAGCAGCGAGAGAGAGAGAGAGGGAGTACGTGTGTGTGTGTGTGTGTGTGTGTGTGTGTGTGTGTGTGTGTGTGTGTGTGTGTGTGTGTGTGTGTGTGTGAAACTTGGATAGACCACTGTGTGAAGGGCGAGTGCTGTTTGCAATGATTTTGTGAGCGAACGTTTCACATGTAGCTAAATGTAATTCATACAACTTAACTGATAGTTCAGTTAAGTGTATGAATGTTACTCGCCTGGTGATAGATGCGTATTAAGGGGAAAATTTAAGATAAAGAACCTTACAATGAAGAACCCAATGTTTCTTGACTTGCATCTGCGGAAGTAATCCTCCGGGAGATCTTATTTTTATCATCTTTTCCATTCAAATGTTTTTACTTAATCACGGTTTATTTATTGCACAAATGTTTGATTTCAGCAACATAGCATTGTCAGAAACGATTGTAATTGGTTGATGTTTCGGCTATTATGTCGGAAGCAAGACGGCACTATCAGGCACTATCTGTACAGGTTTTCCATGGTAAGAGAAGCCCAAGGATTTCAGGCTGAATCATTTTCTCTCTTGTCCGTTTCACTTTATACTTCCGTTTTTGAATGCTTTGAACGAAACGTCACGAACATTTGGATAGGATTCAGTGGGGCATCGGTTTTTCACCGCCCTCCGAGTTTCGTTTAGAGATTCAATTACGTTTAGCCACAGGGTTTCTGAAGTGGTTCCCGGTTTGCCAGCTACCAAACTCAGCCGTTCCGAGGAAATGCAGACAGACATCATTTTCGATTTCTTTTCTCAATGACCTCAGATACTTGATTGTGACCAAGATATTCTGTTTTTTGGTTGTGTACCTTCCAGTGAACCCGAAAAACAAGAAATTGCAATGGGATTCACTTTCACACGTACAATTTCGGTCTTCACCGTTTTGTAAGTGTATGGTTTGCCTACTCTTTGGTGTTGCTTTTGATTTGCCTCTCGTGTTTTGCTCGTGTCGGTACTGTTTCGGTGCCGTGATAAACACAGCACGCTTCGCATCTCTTTGCTACTTCGAGTCCAGAGGTGCAATTTCATCCTTGGTTTACAATGACCATTTGAGCGTTCCTAGTGCATGATGAATCGTACAGTATAAATTATTATTATCGTTATTATAATATTAATTGTAATGTTATCTTTAAAGCACTGGTGAGCTGAACCTCGTACGTCAGTAAATCACGTCAAAAAATCTTCTGCACAGTATCTGAGTACAACTAATGGTTTTAGTGATCACTGGAAAACTATGACTCCGTAATGTTTATCTCGCATTTATTTTAGTTTTGTAGGAATTATATGGATGTACATGATTTGGGGAACACGTGATTCATGGTAGTTGTTCATTTATGCGTATATCCGGACCGCAGTTGGTCTTGGATACCTCGGTTCTTCTGGGGTTGTGGTGGCAGTTTGAATGTAGTAGTGATAGGGGTGGAGTTTGCCGCTGTAAGTGGTGCCATATTCGGTTAGAATCACGTGAACCTGAAGGCCTAGATTTTCGGATATCGGTTCTTAGCCAAACATCAAAAATGTAAAGGTTTTGAATTTCGTTCATTTATACATCAGCTCGTTCGTTCGCTCATTCGTTCGTTTGGGGGAGAGAATTTGGCTAGTTAGAAGCGCTTCGTGACACATCTCGTTCGTTTTGCGAGAACACTATTCAGATGATTTGTGGTAATTTGCTATCCTCTAATGGGGCCATTTCGATTTCCGCTCAGGGCCCACCCTTAAACACTAACATACTCATACACATACGTGACGAGAAGCGACGCGGCGGATTTTTCTGCACTGGCTTCAAACTGGTTATGACCCAGCACCTCCAGTTGGAAGCCAGACGAGGTTCGCTTATGTCGCAGATGACGATTGCACGTGGCTACACCCATATGCTCTCCCCTCCCAGTGTGGCTTATCACATTCCCATCGCTTTTTATTCACTTCATTCTGTTCCAGACTTCGAACGAGGTGGACAGTGAGAAAGCGTGAGTCAAGCAGGCTGATCATCTGGCTGGCCTAACTTGCTTCGTCAAACGCCCAAGGCACGGACAAGCCGGCATGCAGAAATCTCGGATGTAGGGCAAGACGTCACGGTGTCTTCGATCTGGTTTAGTTGACACAACCCAACACACAGTTACACGCAACTACACACACGGAAGGCTGCATGCATGTGATCAGTTAGCATTAAAAGCCGGAGAAGCCAATATCAAGGTCAAAGAGCTGATGGCTGGCAGTGTATACCGGTGCCGGTGCCGGTGCTGGTGATAAGACATGTTATGGACGCGAATGCTTGCGCGACTACTACAGTCTTCAGCTAAGAGATGTGGAAAAAGCCTCTGTGAGGGAACGTGCAGCAATGTCTATCTGATACAGCAAATTAAAGATTGATGAGAATGTTTAAAAGCATATGACATTTTGATTCGACAGGCAGTTTTTGTGTTCTAAATTAAAATCTATTTATCATCCATGCTATTGACCAGACGTCCTTAGTCTTAACAAAAAGTGGTTGATCATGTTTCCGTTCTGGAAATAATATGCATATGTTATGCGGTGAGCGAATAAAAATGTAGTGAAAGATGAACGAAAAATGCTTAAAATCTAGGTGTAACAGTGAGAATCAGAACAAGCTTATCTATTGAGAAAGTCATCCGATAGCTAACAGCCATATATTATCCTAAATGTTTCTATCATATGTGGATAGAAGGCGAATAGCGAATCAGCCTGTCCTGGGTAGTAGCATTCTTGTGGCTAGAATATACGCACAGGATAGAAATAAACAAAATGCATGAACAGTGTCCGCTTGACAGGTTGAATTTGGTAACCACGACAGTTGATATTCTTTAATTAGAAAAGGATAAGGGGAGTAGTGATTGTTGTTTCGTGATTGGAAAATGACAAGGGGAACAATGGAGACGGGTTTTGGGACTCATACACTTCCAGTTTCGGTCAAAAAGGGTCTGTGTCACATTGAGTTCGAAGGCTGGTTTCGGATCGTAGCCAAGGCAGTTGGAATGCCCCCAACGAATAGCTTGTGAGCACAAAGCCACGGGCTGAGTAGTCTGATTGCCGCAGCCCCTATCTTTACTAAATGTTGCTTTTGAGCAGCTTTTGGCGGGTTCACACGGACCCTGTAGTCTACTTTGAATGAGTTATCGTCCACTTAATGTCTACTGTCCACCAGGTGCACCACAACTACGCCGATGATGGCTATTCTACTTCCCGTCATCAGCCAAGCCGGTTTGTGCATTCTGATCCTTTGTGATAGCTGCTGTGTCATTCTACCTACACAGCTTGACAAACTTGAACAAACCAAAGAATATGTTAATATGGAAGAGGTGAGCACATGTATCTTTTCTTTAAGATCCATTGAAAAAGTCGATTGGCTGGTGAAGTGGATACATAACTTGGCAGAAGGAAAGGGCGAAAGGTTCTATTTTCTAGGAGTCGTACTAGGAAGTTGTTTTTCATGGTACTAAGAATGCCAGCCATATGGTTAACAGGAAGGATTTGAGATCAACCAGTGGTTAGGATTTTACATAAATCTTTTTTCGCGGTAACTGTCAGACACGATCCCACTTCCCTCACCTGTCTTCCTAGTTGATCCAACCCACAAACACAACAAATGCTTCGTGCGACAGTCTTGCTCATACTTTAGTATCACAAGATCCGTCACAATCACAACACTTGACTGATCCACTGGTTGTCTCCCTGTTTTCAGACATTCTGAGTTTTGAAGTCCCACATTGGAATTGTTCACTTATAATAAGCTCATCTCCCGGAAAAGGAGGGGATGGAACGGTTGTGCCTGTTTGACCTGAAACTATTACCGTGCTGAAAATTTCAGGAAAGCAGCTCCGTAAGTGCTCATCAGGATCCATACTTACTTTATTCGAACACCAATATGGTAGACTACAACCTGACCCTTGCATTGGTAGTCGTTAAACTTCAAGGCCATTCCTGAGTAAGATGACTTACTCGCTCATGCATTTGTGCGATGACATCTGGGCGACCGCACATGGGAACAACGGCGAAAATCAGCATGGCACGTGGTCTTTTCTTGCCTTTTCGAAAGAATAGTGTGTCGCACCCGAGGGAAAAAGAACGAAGGATTAGCATGCATTTGGGCTAGGGCTACGATACCGATTCGGGCCAGGAGTGACAGCCTGTGTTGTACTCAACCGTTGATAACCGGCCAGGTTGTAAGAAGCATAAACCCATTTCGCGAAAGAAGCAAAGGATAGTGACTGTCGATTGACTCATGTCGAGCTAAATAGGAATTCCTAAATCCTTCACAAGATGTATCATATCACTGAGAGGCGCAACGATAACGACATCAAATACTTCTACCATAGCTACTGTTATTACTACTACCACGGTCACCACAACGACGACGACTACTACTAATATTAATGCCAGTAATGATACTGATACTGATACTAATGCTACTAATACCAGTACTAACACCATACTGCTGCTACTACTGTGGCGGAGTTTACGCATTACTTACTGAACACGTGAGTAGCTGTTTGCGCAAAATGCAATTGTGGATAGTTGTGGATTGATAACAAATGTGACTACGTCAGAGGAACCGAAAGCAATAAGGTAAAGGCAGGCACTTGAACCACAAGATCACGCCTTCTGACCAGATATTGGCTACCTTCAAGTGGACTACACAGCTGGAATGCAAATAAGCGTTAATGTTTCGTCTGATTAATTTTGATGGCTTCAGAACAACTAGTTTCCAATCAATAACCTGGTTAACAGGCTCGTCTTCCGGGTTATAACACTACTACTGCTACAACCATCAAACTACTACCATCATCACTATATTCAACCAACTAATCAGTGAATCAAAAGTCCAAGTGGAAACGGTGTGTAGTAATCTGATTGCTTGAATTCGTAGATGGCGCATGTTTCATCACTAGTCGTGATGATGACATGCACCATATAAAACTAATTAGAATCACCCACCACCTGGGCAGAATTTAAGTGAATCTACGCATTAATCAATGCACTTTCAATGGCATTCTAGCAGACCAACACTTTTGTTTTTGGCGAACGTAACCTCCTTCAGTTTATTGTTTTCTTAGCACGTGATAGATAAAGGTAAGCAACACCGTGGATCTTGTTTAGCTCACGCCTTCCGATGAATATATCAGCCGAAACCCTTTCACAAAGTAGACACAGTTACTTTGTAAATGGCTTTACGAACCATTACCTAGTAAGCAGTGAAGCTTGGGAATAAAGCGCAGCATTTGTGTGGAAGAAGATCAATTTATCACGAGTACCATACTATACTATACTATACTATTTCGTACTAAAAGCAAGAAGAGCAGACTCACGTAGAGCAGGCTAGATGGATGTTTCGTTCAAATATCAACCCCCCGACAAGTGCAGAGTGCTTTGCAAGACTGGAAGCAGCCCGTGCATACGCTCACCCTTTGTGGTAATCAGCTTGAGTTAGCTGATAAATTTAAGTATCTCGGAAGCTCCATTACAACTGGATGCGGTGCTAGTAGGCAATCAGTTCACGGATAGGGAGAGCTAGAACAGTTTTCGAAAACTTGCGAGACCTGGGGTGCAGACCTGATATCCAGCTCTCTCCTAAGGGATGGGGTTTACTACTCAGCGATTAGTGGTGTCTTACTCTGCGATGGCGAGACCTGAACATTGCACACTGAGGATACTCGGCTTCTATCCCTGTTTGACAGCCGATGCCTCCGAGGCATTCCTCACTTCTGGCGGCAACATCAAGTGAGTAATGACTAAGTGCACCGTCGTGTGTTAGGCTTGGTTAGCCACCCCTTTTAACGAAGTGATCGCTCTATACGACTTCCGATGACTCGGTCCCATTTTGCGAATGTTTGCCGTGCTCTACCCTCACGTGCTGAAAGAAGAGACGCGGCGGTCAGGTTATAACTTGGTGTAGAAGCATGAAGTAGCTAGCATCATCAATGGCTTCGATTAGTGCTTCCCACCTCTCTGATTGGGGACTAATGGATGAGAATTGTCGCCGGTCAGAGAAGTTGTGGGAAATGGCTCAGAATAGAAGTCATTGACTTGAACGCTACACAGTTACCGAACTCTCGTGGCCCATAATTAAAGAATTTCATTCAGATGAGCAAAGCTGCCAAAAAGCAACAAAATGAGTGTGGTAGAAAAAATGCCACAAAACGTAACACATTTGCTTACGACCTTCTATTCTCTTATTTACTCTGGCTTGGAATCAAGCAGCTATGGAATATATACTGCACTACACTTTACTACGCTATACTACTCAATGTTATACCATACCATATCTCAAAATTTTTATCAAAAATCCGTCATTTCGGTACTCAGATTTCGCTAGCACACAAACTAGGCATACAATTTTGGGGTTTCCGACTGGTAATGACGTAAGATCTATTTCACTGGAACAGATTACGAAAACTTCGCTTGTCAACAAACTAAATAGATATACGTACGATACTGGACCGTTCCTCATTCGCTTCATCGGTAAGTGTTTGAACAGCAAAGCAAAATATGTAAGAATTATGATCCCGGTTACTATCCAACTTTTGTCACAACTTTTCGGTCACGGCTGGTCTTCCAAATGAGAATCTTTAGGAAACCAGACATGTTTACTTGTCTGAACATATGAATAGTAGATTAGATTTTCTATAAAGTGAACAATCATGCAGTGCCAATGCCTAATTCACCACTGAAAACCATGGAAGAATTGTACAGCCGTTTTATCCTTGTTAAGAATCATCAACAGAGCAAGTCCGCCGAGCCCCCCACTTAGACTCGAACACGGATTGCACAGTTGTGAGTTTAAAAAACGCCATCACGAGGCTATCCGTGATGGATGTCATACTATGCAAATCTTACTATCGCACTGGAAAAGTGACGTGCACCAACTCAGCCGAAAAATCTTCCAGATCCCTGACCAACGATTCCCGGAAGTTCGCCCACAGCGCACCCCACCACCTTCCCTTTCGTATGTCCTGAAGAGCGCCAAAAATACACCGCATCAAATAAGTACCAATTACTCTTGTTCCAGAACTTTCGGGCAAAGTAAGTCAAATAATAAACTCTCTTGTACACTCTGTCCAGGCTTAATTCGAACTTTTCTAAATGTTTGGCTTGTAGTTGTACACTTCTCTATTTTCAAATTTATCCACAAAAAGGAGACACTGAGGCTAACCGTGATGATTTAGCAAGCATCACGCGGGATGCGGTCTAGAACAATCGTGTTACTACCTGTACGGACAAGCTCCAGCCAATCAGAATAGCCGGGAACAGGTAGAACAAAAGTTCACCGTACATAGACGACTAGTGACTTACCAAGCATTTACTTTGAGATAACATTTATACAAATCAATTCTGGAATAGGATAGACGTACAGTTCCGTAGTCTTGGCTTTCTCGCTATTTCGGTTTGCGCAGTTATGGGTTGGAGCGATTCCAACAAGTTCTCAGTCCAAGTATTGTCAATAGTACAGATGATGTCGTGTCATGGAGCTGCCCAGTATGGAACAGCTGAACCTGCGAGCTGGAGCATCCCAAACTGAGGACTAGATTGAATAATTCGAGCTATGGTACACCATAAGCAAAGATATAAAGAAGAAGAATGGGAATGCATTTTTTTGACATCGGTTGGCACTTCATTGTAATTGATAGTGAAAAATCTTGCCTATTCGAGAGCGCTTGTTTCGGTGCCATTCCAGGGGGTGGAACGCTCTGCTCGTAAACCACGTAGTTCCGGTCAATTTTCAGGCAACGGAGAGGACCAAATTTCGTTTGCTGCTACGTGGTCCCAACGTGAGTTCCCGTGAAAACATTCTTACACAAAAGACCCTGGTTGACAGGTGAAATATCTGGGATCAGTTGAAGATCCAATTACGTGATCGATTGATAGCCAGTGCACATCATCTGCAGCTGCAGAAGAAGCTCTTTCTGAAGCCACACTCTGGACTCTCTGGGGCCCTGTAAATGAGTGGGCAATTCGATGGCATACCCAAGCCATGGTTTGGCATTCAGTAGTGCATTATCAATAGAAACGTCCCGTAAATCAAACAGTCCACATCGAAAACCCCAAAAAAAGTCGGCCAACAAAGCGACTTTTAAAGCGAATTTGAGCAGCTGAATCAAGGTTGTGAATTCCAACTCCGTTCTGCTTGTCGCCTTCGTAACGTGGTACGCCATTCCTGCGCAGTTGAAGGTGACGAACGCACCTCGACTGGTGATGAAATGTTTGCGACCTAAACACCAAGCTCAGTGATCACCAACTGATACAATCCATCAACCTGAGCTACAAACAACACCAATATTCAAAGCCTTTAGGAATAAAACGGTTACCTGGTTCAACCAGCGACAACTAGGAAATGTTAGCAAAACGAGCAATTTTGAGTTTATCGGCCACTAGTGGTGACTAGTTGAGATGCCTTGTCGGATGTAGAAGGACAGATGAACGACGGGCAGTTGTCCGGGACTAGAAAAACTTGCAATCCTTTCTGGTGCATGAGAGAGAAACACATCTAGAAAAGTGCTTACTCGGTAGCAGGTGACTCGAGTCAGTATCAGCAAGGTGTGTCGCCAATCCAAATGCCATGTGGCGAATTTGGTCCCTGATTATTCAAAAGATGATGGAAATCAAGTGTACCCACTGAAGATTACGAATGATTGCAACCGAAAACTGTGAAAAGCTTTTCGAATCTAATTAAGCTGGCAGTATCAATTTGTTATGAACAATGCGAGTTCAGTGTTTGACTCTATCCAGACCAATGTGGTCGTCCAACCAACTGAACTGCTTATTCACGATGTTACTGGATA